CTTGGAGATAATATTTCAGCGTCGTTAATTGTAGGATTAAGCCATGTCTCAACAATAGCAATCAAATCATGTTCATTGACACTTTCCAGGGCAGTTAAATGATTTGCTTTGTTTACTATGCTTCGAGAATTGAGGGAGAGAAATTTCAGCTTGTGTTGCAAGATATTCGTTGAATTTTGTGTGCCAGGTCCAGGATTGATTTCGATATCGTATTTCAACAAAAGCACAGGACGAAATTTTGCTGTTGAGTTAGGATAATACGAGATTGAACAGCCACAAAGATGGTTGCAATCGTTAACTGTGATCTTCGACTTTACCCGCCAACTCCAAATACACACAAAGTTATGATAACAAACACCACTTTGCCCACCAATAAACTCGAAATCATATCCCAAACCCATGAGAACATGACTCCGATCATCCTTGTATGGTCTGCTATGTATAACTTGCTGCAAAAGCAAAGACAAGAGCAGCAAAGCGAAAGAGCCAGAGAGAGCACTTTCAGCGCGACTGTCCGCCATCTTAAATGAGTAAAACGTATGGAATTTCCATGGGAGGGTCAACAATGGAAAAGAAATTCCAAAGGATAGGATCAAAATCAGCAAGGAATTTTCCAAGGGATAGCTACTAATCAAAGAATCAATACGGAATTTCCACTGGCTAGATCAAAAACTGTCAAGGAATTTCCATGGGATGGGTTAAAAGTTCATAAAAAAATTGCGGAAATTCCATGGGCATGGCTAAAATTCAATAAAAATCTGCGGAAATTCCACAGGGGAGGCTAAAAATTTGCTTAAAATATGTGGAAATTCCAGGGGAAGGGGGACCAAAAAATGGATGTCCTCAATGGGGGGCGGGGGGTGCGGATTAATAATGCGATCAGCCATTTGAGGTTTTGAACACTTTGCAGTTTTCATTGCAAACGCATTTCGACATTGAGGAAAATTGCCTCTTAAGTTAACGAACTCACTTCATTCTTTTATACATACCCCATGAAAGGTATCACTTCCATAATATGTCACACCAGATATGGATTTAAAATCGTTCGGATGTTGCGTCTTTGTGCTGCTACTCAATTCACATTCGTAAAGATCCGTAGTCTCCTGGCGTATGTTATAAGACTGACAGTCTGTCGTTTGAAGACAAGCGAAACCACAGTCTAATGGCGAATATTCGTGAACCACCTCGATAACATGATTTTGCAATGCCCGATCTAAAGATGGAAATAACGCTGTTTAGTTGATTTAACACTCGAGGGCCGAAGAAAGTGAAACAGGAAACATCGTTTCCTAGCCATGTTTTCCAAAGGTGGACAAACCAGGAAACATTTTTTCCTAGCTAGCCATGTTTCCCAACGGTTGGCAAACCAGGAAACATTGATTCGTAACCATGTTTCCCGAAGGTGGACAAACTAGGAGGCATTGTTTCCTAGCCATGATGTTTCCCGAAAGTGGACAAACCAGGAAACATTGTCTTCTAGCCATATTTCCTAACGGTTGGCAAACCAAGGAACATAGTTTCCGATAGCCTTGTTTCCCAAAGGTGGGAAAACAAGGAAACATTGTTTCCTATCCATGTTTCTCAAAGGTGCACAAACCAAGAAAGATTGTCAGTTCCTAGCCATGTTTTCCGAAATTTAGCGTGAAATTTAAAAGGAATATATGCAACATAAATGCAGGCAAGTGCACTTTATTGTGTTGCGCACATAATTGCCAGATGTATAACTTTTGGGAAACATAAATTTTGCCCTGTCACGAATTTGCATCAAATAAGCGAATACAATTATAAGATCTATACTTACCCTTCACAACTGTATCGAATGAAGTAGTTCTGATATGGCTGGATCGATACGGTTCGTGTGCAATGAATGTCTTAAAACATTGCAAAAAGAAAAAGAGACGCATAAAATTTCGCACATCCATTTTTCATAAGACCTTCACAGTTCTGTGTCGTTTTTGAGATGCCGTGATTTGGTTTACATCTATAGCTGCTAGGCGTCTTGAGAGCAGGTTGCATTTATGTGGGTTTTGGGGGTTTTTATACACATTTATCTATTTATCTATCTAATATAAACAAGCAAATCATTGCATCCAGTTTAAGTTGCCTTAATGATACTTAGACTTAATTCGGATGTCTTATTCAACGAATGAAGCTATCAGTTAATTTCTGCCCTTCTTTGGTTGACAATTGCATGAAAAACACACTTACATGAATAAACAAGAAAAACTTCGTAGCGGAAATATTGTGTTCTTGTCATGTTACCCCACAGTTAAGTGGTTACCCGAAGGTGGGCAAACCGTTTGCAGCAACAAAACAGCACTAGAAAAGCGAAATATGCGAGTTTCGAAACGAAATATGTTCCCGAATTTGTTCGGAAACGGTTTCGCTTCCTATGAGGCAAGTCATGCAACAAATGGGGAAATATGTGGGAAAATATCGCAATTTCTAAGTGCATTCTACTTTACGAACCAGGATCGTTTGCTTATGTAACACATTACATATTTGCAAAATATTTAGAAATGCGATGCACCTGTTAAAAACCCATTGACATTGCCACCCACATGAATCGCGAAAGTTCAGGGTCAGTTGTAGATGGAATTGAAAGTCTTGAAAAGTATTCTGAAAAACTGAGTTTGGTTAACAAACTAATTAAAGAACTAACGACGTAAAAACTATCTACACACGTAAAAACGCACAAGTTGTAACAAACCTGCAGCAGACTTGTAGCAATGCTGTTCCAACAAATTGTCAACAGTATGTGTTCGCACTGCTTGTTCCCAGCTTGTTGACAAGTTGTCAACGGCTTGTTGACAACTTGCTACGAGGTTGTTGAGCTCAACAGACTTGTTACAAGTTGTTCCAACAACTTGTGATCGTCCTGCAATTCAACAATTTGTCAACAAGTTGTGACAGTGTTGGAGTTGTGTACTCAGGTGAATAATAATAATAATAATAACTTCTTTATTTAAACTGGTAAAAACCGATCAGCTAACAAAATATCAGCTGGTATAAACCGATGACCAGCATTAATACATAAATAGTTTACATCCATAATACTATATATTATCTAAAAAAAACCACACCACATGCAATACCAGGATAGATATAAAAAATGTTTAAAAAATATATATATATATTTAGTGCTAAGAGTTACTATATGCTACAACGATGTTCGTGAGCATCAGTTTCTAAGAAAAACTTAAAAATATTGTTTTTAAAAGAGGACAAAGTCTTTAAGTCTCGTAAGTGTTTTGGCAAGGCGTTCCATTCTTTCGCGGCCGAACATTGAAATGACGACTCGCCCATTTTCGATTTGGTTGGAATTACG